AGATTACATAACCCATTCCAGTTCACACAATTAATAAGCAGTGGAGCTTTGCTTTCAGCACAAGTAGTCTGGCTCCTTTTTGCTCCAAACCACTATATTGTAATACCATTATTAAATCAGTTAATAAATCAGGGGCCTCCCAACCACCTTAACTCCAATGCATCTCATTAAACTATGGACCTTATCTACTTTTAATGAGAGAGAAAAAATGATCATTTACCAACTTATAGTAACAAAAACTATACTGGCAGAATTTACTTATTGCCACCCATCTTAATTCCTCAATAAAGCCAGTAAATGGTTATTACACCAAGTAGTCCTTAAAGGTGCTAAATATGTTAAACATTTTCCAGCTCACTAAAAAATTATATGATTCAGTTATTCTAAGAAAACCCCAAGGTAATCTTAACCCTAAGTAAGGCTGGCTAATTCTTCAGTTTTATGGCCAATTAAAAGGTTCTAGATGCACATTCAGAATCACAATAAAACCAAAAAGTACATACAAGTTAACATGTAAGCAACAAGCTATTGCTTATAAAAAAAAAAAAAAAATGTAAAGCTCCAGACCAGCTCATGATTCTAGAATCTGTGGCATTTTATGGAGAGCTCTGATTTCATAGTATTTCAGAGTCCTTGAGGCCAGGAAAATACTATGAGGTAGAAGCCCCAATGGTCATCTCCTCCTTCCTCCTCACCTTCCCAACAAATAATCCCATGACAACATTACTTGGATTCTGACTTTGCACATGCTAAGTCTTTGGAGTCAACAAAGCCCCACTCTAACAGAAAGACCTGCGAAACAGACAACTTGAATGAATACTCCTTCACAATCCATGTCCTTCCTGATTATTTTGAGAGAAAACACACTTAACAAGGGCAGTATAAGGCTATGCTTTGTTAATACTTAGTAAATAACTCATACCTATTAAAATATCAAACCTTAGTTCGCTAAATTTCAGAAGCAAATAAATTACCTAGAGATCTCATTTCTATCCTAGTGTGGAATGCCTTTTCCTACACCATCTCCTCCAACTCATAGCTCTTGATGCTATACCAAAACACCCACCACCCCTTTAATAACATTATAACGGAAATAGTCATCACCCCTGATTATTTTAAATTGCATGATGGCAAAGGGAGCTATGCATTTTATCATCCTTCTCCCTTAGCTCTTCCCCACAATATTACCTAAATCCACACCACAGTACCAGGTGGCACCACGGGGTATAGACCCCTTCATGCTTTATCTTAGAGACTTCATTGTACCACTCAACCATTACATCTCCCAAGAAAATGCTCAATGCTGCAACTCACAAGCTCATAAAGACATTTTTACTACTTAACTGGAGCTAAAAAATGAGCTTTGTAGGTTATGGCTGGGAAAGGTTTACATTTTTCAGACAACCAAAATTAGGAGATCATTTTGGTATGCAAAAGACGTCCACCAAATAAAGCAATAAATTTAACACTAAAAGCCTTTATCAGGGAGAGCATGGTTCACAACCATCTTTCTTTGTACAGCCTTTCCCCAGGGTTTAAAGCTTCGTTAGGCTGCTACACTGCATTATCCCAGCGACTGCCAGAGCCCCAAAATGAGGCGAATAGATGACAGGGAGCAGTCTGTACTTAATATCCCTAATTTGTAAATGATGAGACAGAAATAGCAACAACGGGTTTCTAAGCCAGCAAAAGAGAAATAAATGGTGAAAATCTCGCTGATTGGAAAAAGTCCTTTCCCATTAGCAGCAGGCATGGACCGCTCTGTAGTGTGCATGCGCTTTTTCGGGGAGTCCTGGGGAGGCTGGGACTGAGCAAGCACAGGACAGAGGCACCACTGGCCTTCCGTAGCAAGCTCGCTCCCTCTCTTCAGGCATCTCTTTCTTATTCCATGCCAACCACTAGACTCAAACGCCAACCTGAAGAGCCAATAAACAATCAAACTATCTACAGGAGTACAGTAAGTCAATAGAGGTGGGCCCTCTAAAAAAAGTAAAATTGGCTACTCTGTCCTATTTTCTGACCTATGACTTTAAAGCTTTTTCCTTAATAGGTGAAATATAAATAACATAGAGATGAGTGAGCAAACACATTTCTAGTCTCTACCATTTCTAGGTTAAGAAGGTGAGAAAAATATGTATTTCCCAATCCCACCTATGTTCCAACCACTTTCCCCAAAGGTAATGAATATAAACCATAGGGTTGGAAAACTGCCCGCTGGCATCCACAAAGAAGGTTTCCAAACATCAAAATTTCTCCTAAACTGGTTGAAACTATTTCTCCATGCCAAACTCCCCACACTCAAACAAAACAAAAAAAACTCCCTCTCTTGTGTAGTGGTTTTCTGTCCAGTTAATCAACTCTTGCATGCTCATAAATTATTACACAAGAGAATTTAAATGTAATTTTTTAAAAAGATAAAATCTAAGCAAACCAAAATTTATCATAGTTCAATGACTTGTTAAAAACAAAAGTCTCATTGAGCCCTGGCTGGGTGCCTCCGCTATTTAGAGCATCGTCCCAATGTGCTAAGTTATGGGTTCAATCCCTGGACACATATAAGAAGCAACCAATGATTGCATAAACAAAGTGGAACAACAAAATGATATATTTATATTTTGTTTCTCTCACTCTCTCAAATCGATTTTTTAAAAATGGGGGGAAAGCACAAAGCTTCCATTGAATATGACCAGTAAAGCTGTTACCTTTGTGCTCAGAGAGTCAATATTTCAAGAGTTATGAAAGGACGTTATTCAAAAGAGAACAGCTATCTCGTAGGCCCATAATAACCTGTTAGACCCAGGCCAGCATCTGGTCAACAGGTGGCAGGCATTTAGTTCCACTCGTCAGAAATTTAAATTTTACAAGATCGCACTTTTTACAGTTTAGGAACAACCCATGATTACGTAGAGGGGGAAGTGTTTCTTTTCTAGAACAAATGTATTATTTACAGAAATCCAAAACCTGATATACAGTCATCTTCTAAATTATAAGTACCTAGCTTAAATCTACTCACTCCCTAATATCATCAGGTAGCACACGACCTGTTGTTCTTTCCACTCACTACTTACCCTGTATCTCATGGCTACTGTTGAAGGGCAACTAAGCTGCTCTGGGCCACAGTGTCACCTGGTGGTTGCCATGCCAAATTGTCTGACCTAGGTTTCTTTGCGGACTTGGGCACACTTGCTTGTAAGTCATGGTTCAGATGCCACTAGCACTCCTTATATGTTTATTATCTTGAACACCTCATACTCTCTCTAAACCACTGATTCTCAAGGTAGGGAGCAAAAGAAAAGGAGATGTGAAGTACAAGGAAATGTTTATAAATGAATAAGAGCAACTTTCCAAAATACTATGCCCTGGCCGGTTTGGCTCAGTGGATAGAGCATTGGCCTGCAGACAGAAGGGTCCCAGGTTTGATTCCAGTCAAGGGCACATGCCTGGGTTGTGGACTCGATCCCCTATGGGGGGCGTGCAGGAGGCAGCTGATCCATGATTCTCTCTCTCTCATCATTGATGTTTCTATCTCTCTCTCCCTCTCTCTTCCTCTCTGAAATCAATAAAAATATATTAAAAAAAAAATACTAAACATCCCTCAGCCAAGATTCTGATACATCCTTCTTAGTGGGGCATCATCTCACCCACCCCTTGAAAATCACAATGTGTCCAGAGAAAAAGAAGTTAATGATGGGAGAGTCCTTGAAAATACAAAATCAGAAAACTGTGAACAGCCCATCTCCCTCCTCCTTTATTCTCATCCTTCATCTGCTCCAATAATAGGATTTACTTGGGGCACAACATTCCCACAGTTGTACTAAGATTGAGGTAAGTATATATTTGGCCTTCCTTTTCACTGTCTTGCAGCTATTATAGACAAACTATGCACACATCTATATGCCTCCCCTCACAAAATCTCCATGTTCTCAGTACAATATTTTGTGTTTACTAAGTTACTTAGGATGAAAATGTAGTCATGGATTCTGGAGTCCCAGCTTGAGTGTAAAAGCCATATCTATCTTTAGGAGTCAGATATGTTTAGAAAAATCTCGGTTGAAGTCACCTGGGATCTGTTTGTGAAAGGGACTCAGATGTCTCCCGGGAAAGTACTTACTCTAAAGGGAGAGAAAATCAGGCAAACAACTTTGCCCAGTCTCTATCGCCTGACTCTGAGGGAAATGTCATTCTGAGCTCTCCCTGGAGTCAGTCACTACGAGTTCTTGTCCTTGCTACCACTTCATGGATTCCTGTCTCAGTCATAAGGAAAAAGGAGGATTCAAAAAAATTTGAAAGAGATTATTTTTCACTAAAAACTTCTGTAAGACATTAGGGCAAGATGTGTTCCTGCTATGGTATCTACTTTGCATATAATACAACATAGGTCTCACATACCAAGAATAGCACAGATTATAGTGTGATAGTATGGTTCATCATGGTACCTTGATGCTGAGTGCATGATGAAGTGCAGTTTACAACAGCACCCCTGAGTCATTTGGGGAGCACCCAAAAATAGCACCTCTGTCATAAATACTAGTATCATTAAGATGGACACACATACTACCACACAGGGCACACAGACCTCAGGAGATGACCTGCCCACTGCCTCTGAGTCCACTGTGAGTACCCATAACCTATTCTCCCAGCCACAACCAGAGCCTCCCAGCAGAAATAGTGGAGTAATCATAACAGAAATAATAGCATATGGGCTTGGAGAGGACAGAAAGATCCTCAATTTTAGTCGAGGGTAAGCATACTTAAAAAAGTTTCCCTGGAATGTAATTTTATAATAATGTTTTTCAACCTCTAAGTAAATGCCACATATACTTTTCACTTAAACATCTTCAGGAGTATTGAATTTAAATCACTTGAAGACAAGGTCTCAAGCTGCTATAGCTTCAATTAACTGAACTTCCCATTAGTAGAAAATAAAACATTCACACCTTTACTTTTCCTGTTCTCCTCATTCATTCACTCTTAACCATATAAACATATAGTTAATATACCGAGTATATTAGCAGTGCACTGAAGAATTCCCGAAATGTCCTCGATTTCCTCTTTGTTGGAATGGTCTGCATAGGAGCATCTGTTGGAGATATTGTGGAAATTCTTTTCTGCATCCCTATAACTAAGAAGAAAACAAAATCAGCATATGGAGACAAATGTCAGAGCATCTGCGAAGGCACTCATATACATACGCACAAATGCACATGCTCTGTGCTCTCAGCATAATCACATTTTAAAATAACTGAACCTTTAAGACATAATTTATGACATTAGCCACCATTAACATCAGCATTAGCAGAATGGACCTGGAACTGGAGACAATCATTAATAAGGAAGCTATGTTTGGGGGGAAAAATAAATGAGGAAAACCAGAGGGTAGATGAGCTTTATGTAACTAACGTTTCCTTATGTGAGTATTTCATAGCTGCTGGTAATCTGTTTCTATACAGAACTTGCCTAGAGGAAGAATTAACACCACTAATTTGGTGCATTGGCACCAACTGTGTTGAAAGCAAATACATCTTAACCTCTATCACAGACAGTCAGGAAGACAGCGTGGTGCTTGGATAATAAGCAAACAAATTGGAGGCTGACAGAATTTCAATCATGGTCTCACCATTTTCTTTTTGGATTAACAAAATCAATATGCAATATTATATTAGTTTCAGGTATACAACAGGGCTATTCAACATTAATATATGTAACAAAGTGGTCACCATGCTACGTCCAGCAACCATCTGTCATCATCCAAGGTTGTTGCGATATTATTGACTAGATTCCCTATGCTGCACATTGCAGCCCTGTGACTTACGTTATAACTGAAAGTGTGTACGTCTTGTGCCCCTTCACGGTTTCTGCCATTTTCTATCTGTGAGACTGGGGACAAGTAAGCTCATCTCTGTTAGTCTAACTTTCCTCCCTCATAAAATGGAGATGATCCCTAGGGTTGTTGTGCGGACGGAATGACAGATGCTGTAACCAGATGTTGACTGGAACTTCTCCGGCGGCTCTGACTTAAAGCTAAGGCACCAAAGCTCCCACATTCCAAAAGAGAAGCCAAGGAGACCGACGTCTCCAGAACCTCAGCAATGACTAAAGAGCCACTGCCACTGTCACCCGCCACCATCTCACAGAAGCGAAGAGACATACAAAAACGAAAAGGAAATCCTCAGGAGAGCCACTGGCCTAGGAAGAGAGCTTTGTTATCGTTTCCCCTCCCCCATGAGGAAAGGAGAGCAGGGGGGTGCTCCCTGTGGAAGCCCAGCTGCTGAGAGAGCTTGGGGCTTGGATGTCTCACTCCTCAGCAGACATCCACTGAGGAATTCTGGACCATCCCTTTGTGCCTCACTGAGTAGAGAAAGAAGTTTCCAGAGAGAGTGGAAAAGAAAGAGAGCCAAACTGGGAATAGCCTGTAGTCCCACCATTCAGCAAGGCAAAAAAGAAAAAAAAAAAAAAGAGCTTTCTATGGATTAGGGAGATGCCACAAAGAGAGGCAAACCGGATGTTCCATCCACTGTTTTTCAACCTAGAGACAGTGGCCGGGGCAGGAATCCCACTAGCAAGACTGAGTGAGATGTGCAGGCCTCAGGTCCAGGGCAGGGGCCTCTGAAGCAAAGTAGGGCCCATCCATGCACCTCACTGAGGACATTATAGCCAAGAAAGGACTACTGCAACAACCAGTGAGGTTTTCCGGCCCATTCTCACCAGACACCTCACATCGGAAGAGAACGGGACCTAGAGAGGAGTGGCCTGTAGTGTCGGAGTGAATAGCCCCATCACATCTGCTCGGCACTGCTTTGCGCGTTCCTCAGGCCAAGCCTGGCCCAGGCACAGAGGGATATAAGAGTGAGATGGGGCATGAGATTAAAGATTTCAATTGGTCTGAAGTGGACTTTAAACTCCCTGAATGTACCTGGAAAACAGAGTGATGTGCCCACGCTAATACTGAAGGGGACTCATGCTAACATGTTCGATGTGCTTGGAGAGAAAAAGTAAAATGGCTTAATGGTTGTACACCTTACTGAGATCTGACTTCAAAAAAGTTACGCAAAATGCATACTATAGTTTCTAGAATGCAGTAATCAGTCAATAAAAGGTGGAAAGGGGAACATGGGTGTTAAATATAGACAAAGACAGTATTATTTTTAAATCAAGGGCCACCATTTTCAAATATTTTTGTCACAGCCTCGATTTATTCATCTACACAATGATTCTGTGAAATAGAGGGCTAGGACTAAATAACAGATGTAAAGTGCCCCATGTATTGCCTCCAACACAGGGAGCAATCAATAGATATTAGCTTTCATCTGACTTCTAGTTTTAATTCCATGAGATAGTTATTTTTTGTAAATACATAAAAACACTAGATCATGTTTTAGATTAAAAAAAAAAATCTGCAACCACAAAATCTGACCATGGAAGCATAAGTAATACCATCGAAGTTTGTTTCCAGAATAATCAGAGTTCACCCACTCCTAATTTTACTTCTAATGTTCTATTGAAATTATTCTAGCTTAGTCCCCACCCAATTGTCAAAAGAAAAAGAGAACAGAAGTTTGGCTGTATAAAACAAACACAGGGCCCACAGTGATGATTGGAGTAATAAAATTTAATTTTAGATGACTATAGGAAATGGCATTCCAGGCCAATATGAGGTTGGCAGCAGTCCTACCCAGGGTATTAGCACAACAATGCTAATTCTGGCAAAAACAAAAACAAAAAAAGTTAATGGCATCATTCTAAATACATATTTCTTTATACTTTCATGTTAAAATATATAATGAACATAAAAACTAAAAAGAGTGATTATCATGTGTTTTCCAATCATAGTTTTAAATAAATCTCTGCTTTGTCTACACTGTCATAGTAACCCACTTTTATGAGCTACAGACCAGTAGGAGTAATGCAGTATAAACATGAGTGACAGTAGTTGGGTTAGGCACTCCAGAGGCAGAAATTTAGGTTAAAAAAATTCCAAACTCTGTAAGAAGAAAGTGGTAGCTAGAACATGAGGGGGGCATGCTTATGTTTAGCTCCTGATGCTAAACAACTGATTCCAAACTTTAAAGGTTCAAGGAGGACAGAGGAAGGATGTAGCAATGAAAACTGAGGTGTATAGGAGTCAGGTACTAATGGTGGTAACAATTCAACAAATGAATTGATTATCCTTGTGTACCAGGCACTGTACTACTTTATATGATTATATGACTTTACACATCATTATCATTAATATTTTATTCAAACTTTACCCCAACCCTATAATTATTAGCCTTTTAAAAATAAGAAAAGCGAGGCTCAGAGTGGTTAAGTAATCTGTCCAGGATCAAAGGTAGAATCTAACTTTTAAGTCTAATGTATCTGGTATGCCTGCTTCCAAAGCACATTTTCTCAGTCCCTGCTCTATACTACACAACAAAGAAGCACAGAGAGAAGGAAGGGCAGAAGACAGTATCAAGAATGACATCAGCCACAAATGTCATCATAAAGCAGATTTTCCTCCATCCTGACTTCCTTTTTGTTCCCAGGGGAACCCTGATACCCATTTTCTTCTCAGTATTCTTTCTGCCAGATGCGGCCCAAAAACCTAGTCCATTCCCTAGAGGCTTGAGTTAAAGCAGCACAAGTGTGTACACTCAATGCTCCCTTTTCTCATTCTAGGTTGAGGGAGAAGAAGACAACTATGCTACACAAGCAAGAAGCTATCCAAGTGAGCATGCTTGTGTGGATTTCATACAGTAATCAAAAGGTACCATAAAATCAATCTGACACACAGTGGCAGAACATTAAGCGTTAATGGAAAACTATGCAAATAAGTCAAGGTAATTTAGCTATAAGGAAAAGGGTCCTGGCTACTAGCACTATAATTTTAGAATTCTATTGGGCCCCAGAAATTATTCCCACTCCTCATTTTACATCTCATTCCAAAGCACAATTTACTCTTTTATCCATTATATGCATATCTGTGTATATACCCCTAGGGTGCAACTTATTCATTTATTCACACTTCCTCACTGTCCCCCCCAAAATTGTTAGTCCCTGCTACATACCAAGCATTTACAAAGGTACAGAAATATAAAAGTAAGTAAGATAAATAACAAAATAATAAAATAAGTGAGCTAATATAAGTTAATGATAAGCACTATGAAAAGGAATAATGAAGAGTAATACAATAAAGAATGATCAGAGTTGGAGGTTGAGGTAGGGGATGGAGGGCCACTTTAGACTGGGTGGTCAGGGAAGGTCCTTCGGAAGATATTATATTTAAACAGACACCTAAATGTATGAAAAGAATAATCTACACAAACATCTGGGGACAAAGCATTAGAGGAAAATGAAACAGTGCATGCAAGGCCTGGAGGTTGAGCAAGCTTGGTATAGTTGAGATACCGACAGGTGGCTTGAATGCTGGAACGGAGTCAGATAGGGGGAGTGGAAGGGGATGAAATCAGAGAGGTACACAGAGGACAGGTCACAGAAAGAATTCAGATTTCATCTGATCACAGTCAGTCTCGATATTGTTCAAAGCCAGGATTTCAAAGTGTGATCCCTCTGGGAACTCAGACATGCCAACTCTTTTGGCTGAGTTATAATAAATAAGACCTCCCATACTAGTATCTCACCTAAAAAATATATGAATTTGATGCTGTGAATACAATAAAAACAAGGCAGTGTGACAATAAAAACACAGTAGAGTTGTTTTCATGTGTTTATGTTTTATTCAGACACAAGTGATTAATAAATCTGGATTGTATTTCTAAAAAAAAATTTTTTTAAGAATGCCAATTCTTGAGCCTCTCCCAGACAACCTGATCAGGAACTGTGGCGGTGAGGCCCAGCAATCTGAGTTTCAGCAAATCTGACGGGTGAATCTGATACCTGTTAACACTTGAGAACCACTGGTCTAAAGGAAATGGTATGACCTAATTTTTTAGTCATTCGGCTGCAGTGAGAATACAGTGTTAAGGGACAGGAGTAGATACCAAAAAACTAGATGGGAACCTCTAAGTGAGAGAGGACGGTGACAGTGGAGAGGAGGAGATTTATCACACCGCATGAATAAATGATTTTAGTGCTCATTTTCCAATTTGAATGATGTCTATGAATAAGTAAATGAACAAGTGAATGGATAAGTTAAGGAGCAGAGCAAACGTTTAAAGATAAAGTTGCTGAGCTGCACAGAGGCTATCTTACTCCCTGATGAGAAGTTCCATCCTCTACCCCCTCCCATCCCTCCATCTGTGTGATCCTTTGAACAGCTGCTCCCTGCATTCAAGTCTAGGTCTTAGAGACTAAAAATGTCTCTGAGATGTCTGTGGGCTACTGGTATGTGAATTCATCAAGAGGAAGAATCATGCAATCCTGGAGCTCTAATAAATAAAGCAGGTCCAAGGGCAGAGCTTTAAAGGAGAGGAAAGGGAGGGTGTGAAGGTCAGTGGTTAGAGGCTAGAATTAAGAAACTGAGAAGGGCTAGCTTCTACTCCCTTCAATCCTCTGGATTCATCACCCCAACCCCCAAGGGACCTAAAAGCTGAATTACCTCAAGACAAGCCTTAGGCAAAGCCCCATTTCAGGAATTAGGAAAAGCATCTATTCCCCACTCTAACCTCCCCAAGTAAAATAATACTTGCCAGCACTTGCTACCTGAAATCCCTTTAACTAAAACAGAAAAGAAAGAAAAAAAACAAGCATTCCTTTTCACAGTTAGAGATAAAAAGCCTTCATGTGTATTTTCTTAAAAGGAACAACACCTTGGTGTGAGTACATGTAAATCCAAACGTTAGTGGTAATAGATGCCCTCCTTTCTCAGTACTGAAAAGAGAAAGGAAGCAGAAAGAAGAAGTCTAAAAGGCAAAGGAGGGCTTTGGACATGGAAGCCATGACCGAAGGAAAGGAAGGAGAAAGTCAAGTAAAGCAAATGTAACCCTATTCTGCCAACTCGTCCTTTTTGTCTTCATGAGCATGAGTACAAATACAGGTAGTGAGCAAAGGTACTTCAGGTCCGCAGAAGGCAGCCAGCACCCATGTAAGAAGTATGCTAACAGGTATATTTGGAACCAGTGGGACATCAGGACACCTCTTTATATTGGAGTCACATTCCCTGTCTGTTTTCATTATACTGTGTCTGCATTAAACAGAACTAGAAAGAACATTTCAGCAATGAACAAAGAACCACCACAGACTATTTCTACACAGATGGAGAGAAGGGAGAGCTGAGGCAGTAACTTAGATAAAAGACAACTCCATCTTAAAAACAAAATATAAATGTTCTGCTGATAATGGTAATATAGTCTAGTTGTCTATTTGATCAAATTTACAAGATTCCCAATTCAATTTGCCTGGAAGACAAAATTTAGTTCACAAATGGGACTTTTTTTTATCAGTTATTATTTGATTTCACATTAGAAAGGGCATTCATAACTCCATAAAATAATTTGCATTTGATTACTAATATTGTCATAAAATATTAATAATGATGATAATACACCCAACAGCAAATATGTAGTACTTACCATATACTAGGAACTGATCTAAGAATATTGACAAATTTAATCCAACACCATACTTAGAAAGCAGCATATCCAATGAGAGTGATTAAGTTTTATTTAGAATGTGTGGAGAGAGATTAATTTGACATTCTTACATTCTTTATCTCCATTAGGTTAAACCATTTAAAATCCCTAATGGCCTCAAACTAAAAGCCATCTCATGAGTTTAAATAATGTGTTTTTCCTAGTGAGGCACTCTTGAGGATTGATATGACAAAGTTTCAAAGCAATTCCCTTTGAAATGACAACATAATCATCAAGCACTTCAAGTATATGGCATCGTACTAGGTATGGAGTTATTTTTCTACTAAGTTTCTTCCCTTTTGTTTTATAAAAAAAATTATGTAACACCTTAATAGAAAAAATATATATCCTTGATCCCCATGGCAATGACTAGTAACCATAAATGTTCAATGATTCCAAAAGCATGTCAAGAGGTATTAGGATTTGAATCTTAATTCCTCAAAAGTTCTTAAAAACTTACCAAGAAAAATCATGGTAGCACATAGAGAATATTAACAAGGTGAATTAAAAATATGCCTTCCTGCCAAAACCGGTTTGGCTCAGTGGATAGAGCGTCGGCCTGCGGACTGAGGGGTCCCGGGTTCGATTCCGGTCAGGGGCATGTACCTGGGTTGCAGGCACATCCCCAGTGGGGGATGTGCAGGAGGCGGCTGACCGATGTTTCTCTCTCATCGATCTTTCTGACTCTCTCTCTCCCTTCCTCCCTGTAAAAAATCAATAAAATATATTTTTTTTAAAAAATATATGCCTTCCTAATGCCAATGAATTTAATTTAAATAGCTAGATTGCATCGGAAAGTAAATCAAGGATTTTGTATTTGCCAATTGCTTCCTGCAACAGCCAATCAAAGGTCATATGTGGAGTCTAATGAACAAAATAAACTGATGAACAAAATAGATCCAGACACATTGAGGGGGAGGAGGGTGATTAACCAAAGAACTTACATGCATGTATGCATAACCCATGAACACAAACAAGAGTGTGGTGAAGGCCTGGGAATGGGGGGGCAGGGTGAAGGGAGTCAATGGGGGGGAAAAAGGGGGACATTTGTAATACTTTTAACAATAAAGATATTTTTTTTAAAGAGGTAAGGGGGGGAAAAAGGTATACCTTTCATTCATTTGGAGCTTTCTATTTACAAAATAGTTTCATTGAAATTATCTCATTTAATAATGACATGTAATCCTTGCTTTAATTATTATTATCATCATCACCCTCTACAAAAGAGATAGTTACTTAAAAGTTCTACGCGGCCCTGAAATGTTTTTTGACCTCACATCTTACTTTACACCGTATCACAATGATGTCAACAAACGGGGCATAAAAAAGAAAAATTTGGCATGTGACTCTAGCTAAAATAATACCTCTCACTGAATTGTATTAAACTTGTAATGATTTTGAGTAAACTTTACTGAAGGATTAAAGCATCTCAGTTGGTACCATTAAATCTTAGCACATTACTAAGGCAAAATTATGAGATGAAATGAAATGGATGAAAATGAGAGGATAAAAACAACAACAAAAAAGAAGAAGAAAAAATAAAAAGTAATACCAAAGGGAATTTTATTTAAAAGGATTAAACACAAATAAGCCTAAGGCAGTCATTCCAGGGTCCCGCATGAGCTACCCTCCATGCTGAGAGCACAGCCCCTATGAAATAAAGCTGACCTGGTGGCAAAAAACTACATGCTCAACTGCTATGCTTGAGTAATTATCTTTAATTTGCCCCAGTAATGACCAAAATCCATTTTTACTTACCCAATAACTTGGTGCTCATAATACTGCAATGTCCTCTTGAGAGTTTGCTGAATCGTCTGAGGCTACAGAATAATAATAATAATAATAAATTATCAGCAAATCAGTGTCATTCCCATTCTGAGCATCATAGGCAGATATGTAGCTTCTGATTTATCTCATAAGAGTTTTTTTTTCTTTAAAATATTAACCCATGATGCATTTTGCCATGTATTTTCCCCACAGGAACTAATATGAGGCATTCGGTAATTACCCAGAATTTCCCAATTTCCCAATACAATAGCATTTCCTAGCCATATTTTTCCCAATTATTTTGTAGCAGCTATTAAGTTCAATAAAACACTCATTGGATGCCTATAATAAACCTAGGCCCCAGGGGCAGTGGGAGGGGATGTACTGAAGAAACATGGGTCATGCACAGGGCAAGCCTGACTTCCTTACCATCCAAGAGATTCCAAACAAGGGTTCTGGAGCCTCCTTGCGGGACCACAAGTGCACAGGGCAAGAAATGGGGTCTGAAGCAAATACCTAAACAGCTCATGACCAAATTTTATAATCCTCTCCTTTCCATGCCAGCTGAAAATAGAGTTTCTTAAGCCCAGATCAAAAAATGATTCTTAGACTTATTTAGGCAACAGAGCCTAAACTTGGAATTTCAGACCCATGGAGCCATAAAAGTGACACTAAGATCCTAGAACATACATCTTATTAACAAATTAAGATAAAAACCAAATTTTCAGTGTCAAAAGTGTAAATTTTAAAATAATAAAATGTTGTAGTCAATCAAGCAGAATAAAAAGCTATCAAATGTTTATCAAAATATTGATCCATTATAGCGATGGATGAGTTTTAGGGAATGTCATGACTCTGACACAGACTCTTCAAGATGTGAGACAGCAAGGTAGTTAGATGACCTCGTGGGCTCCCACTAACTAAACTACAAGAACCTAGACAAGTCTAAAAGGGTCACCTCGGAAAGAATCTAGCACTGTGCTGGTACCTAAGAAGCAGTTCAGAAATATCAACTTATTTCCCATCCTCCATCTTTCAAAGTGGCCATCTCAATAATATTTAACTTGGAGGAGACTATGAAGGTTGTTGTCAAGGTTCACTTGAACCCCTTCCATGTTCACCTTGTTATGAAAACATCCAGAATAGATATAATTATCTCTCTAACACTCTTCAAAGTATCAACATCCTCCTTCATGGGGAATGGCTGTGTGAAAGCTAGGAAAAAAGTGAACTTCAATTAAATCAAGAGCATCCACTGAGATGTTCTACACTGTCACTTAGGAGAACACTTACCCTGAGCAAACCAAAGGCTTCACACACAATCTTCACCCCTGCCAAACCAATTCAGAAACTAATTTTAGGGGGAATCAGACTCTGAGTGTTCAAAGAAAGAGATACAGGGCAGCTTCTTCCAACGGCTGTTTTTCATTTACTAGTACAATAGGTTAAAAAAGATGAACATGAGGCTTCAGACTGGCGCAGATGTTTCTACTCATCGGGACAGAATCAAAGCAGAGTAAATAAAATGTGTCTAGGAAAGAAAAATCATTCCTGAACCAAGAAGCAATGGAGCTGCTGAGAAATCTAAGGAGGATGAAGCAGACACAGCAATCCTGGAGCACAGGAAAAGTGTGCTTTAAAAATCCACCCTACAGCCAACCTAAACCAAGTCATTATCAGTCACCCCTGGGAGCTGGGCCTCTTGCATTGGTTTGGCAGTTTCTGAGCTAAGATAACTTTCTCTTGGCAACATGCCCTAAATGCAGTTAATATCCACAGGGGGATTATCCTCCCCATAACCTCTGGTCCCAAAACATGGAGCAGAAAGCAGGAACTAGAGAGTGCACAGGGCCAGTTAAGACCAGAATGACCTCATTTTTACTAAAGGACATTTTTTTTTGTCCCAGTACCAGGAATTTCCCAGGTTTTAAAAAGTGCATGTTTGTGAAAGGAGTTAAGCCTTTTAAAGAGATGACTTTTTTTCTTATGTGAAGCAGTTACTTTTTACTCCCCAGGAGGAGTTAAACTTATAGTTCCCAAATACATTAAAAGGAAAATGTTCTCTGAGCACACTGAACGAAGCTTCGACTTGCTAGAGCATTTATGTACTTCCTGTTGCTTGCCAGGCCAGTGTGCACATTCTGATGGTCTAAGCTACAAGCACGGAGGCTGACTGCAGAGTAGCCCCTGATCTTCAGCAAGCCAAGGGTGACTTCAACACAAACCTGATTCCTCAGAGTGTCAAATCACGGAGATTCACTGGAACCTTCTCTAGAGTTTGCCTGATCGCTCAACCCATGGCTTTATCAGTGAGTGACAGACATCCTCACATAATCTCAGGGTCTCTCTGATCTAAATAAAAAAGCATGAAGTGAAGACCCACCTGTAGACCAAAGCCTTCCGTAGGGTGACTTCTGCCTTGACAGTCATAGGGTCCAGTTATTAAGAGTCTATGTATGCCAGTGATGCAGGTCAGTGTAGCTTAACGGGGAAAGCAAGGGCTATGCAAATCTACAGACCTTCTACTATTCTTTTCCTTAAGAATGCAACTCCATACCTGTCCTCTACTCCACATTCCCATCCAACTTTCTAAAGGGTGAGATTCTGTTTTTCTCATCTGTGTCTTTCCTTTTCTTCAAGAAGGAGTTTAGAAAGATGATTTTGAAAAGAGAATTTAGGGTCAAATTGAGTTCAAAATCCAGCTCCGTGACTCACTAGCTAGGGCAATTTATTTAACCTCTCTGAAATATGATTTTTTATGTATATATTATTTGTATGGGAGTTAATGGAAATACTTAAAGCAAAGTCTCTGGTGCACAGTAGGTACATAATAAATACTGGTTGTCACCATAATCGGCTAGAAAACATGGCTCCTGCTCTCAACGTCTCATAATCCAGTGGAAGGCACTCTCCCCACAAGTGTAATGTTTCAAGATACGCATCACCTAAAAAAACCAACAGGCCCACCATTCCTGCAAACAATGAGAAAATGGTGCCCATTCCAATAGACAATGGGGAAAAATAGAAAAGTGGCAGCCTCATTTAAAATATTTCCAGTGAAACTCAGATCAGGCCTAGAGAGAGGGTGACAAAAGCAGAATTCTCAAAATTAAGATTGAGGATAGACCTAAATCCAGGCCTATAATGGGAAGGACATTGAAGCACCACAGCTAAGATCAGGACCCCAAGCCTTAACGCTTTACAACTAATAAGAAACAACCCATGAACCTCCTTCCTGGAACACAAAGAATGTGCGACCAGAGAGCAGTGTGACCTCATAACTTCAAGGCCATGTGCTGGGAGAGCAGAGAAACAAGAGGGGGAGACAAAAGCCATTGTTCTTATAAAAAAGAAAAACCAGCAGGTCTGTGACTTTTCTCCGCTTCCCCCAAACTAGGATTTAGATAGTGGCCTCTTACTGTCTTATTGTCCCTACTCAACACAAAGCAGCAAAGGATAGGAAGACAGTTGGAAAGAGAACGCAGCCATCTGTGTCCTGCACACACATTGTCTGGGGCTCAAAAAGAAGGAACCCAAAAGCTTCCATCCTGTGACAACAAGAAGCCCTCTCCACTTCCGGCCTCATTAACAGCTTCACACTCCTTGGCCGGCAGTCAGTGACCCCCACAGACTAAATGTTATGCTCATGAAAGGTCATGGGATCTAAACAGCCAGCCATGAAACAGTCCCAACAGAGCCAGAGAAGTGATCCCTGAGGAGTGGGAGGAAGCTGTTCCCAGCAGCTGGCCCTGCAGCTCAGACAGCCCTGTGGAGGCTCCCACACAGTCAGGCTCTGCTCTGGACATCTGCACCAGACGGTGTGGGGACCCATCGGGCAGGAGGCAGGGAGACAAGTTGTATGTGTGAGTGTGTGTGTGTGTGTGTGTGTGTGTGCGCGCGCGCGCGCGTGTGGTTTGCACACAGCATGAAACACAGTTGTCATCGTACTAGGTACACATTCATCAAAATTTTACAGACATGAAGAAGGTGAGGCTCCTATTGGTTAAGTGAATATCCCAAGATCACACAACTAGTAAGTGAATAAGTAACTGCAAATCAGAACCAGCTTTAAGTGTGTCTTCTTCCCACTAGATCAGACGTGGGCAAACTACGGCCCGTGGGCCGGATCCGGCCCGTTTGAAATGAATAAAACTAAAAAAAAAAAAAAAAAAAAAAAAAAGACCATACCCTTTTATGTAATGATGTTTACTTTGAATTTATATTAGTTCACACAAACACTCCATCCATGCTTTTGTTCCGGCCCTCCGGTCCAGTTTAAGAACCCATTGTGGCCCTCGAGTCAAAAAGTTTGCCCACCCCTGCACTAGATGCATTAAGGATCCCTGTCACCTTTAGTATTCTGTGTCTCCATGTCCATTTTTATATATACAACACTTCATCTCGCCAAAAATAAGCAAACAAAAATTCCACAGGTAATTTAAAAACAAATTGCCTGGCTGTGGTGGCTCAGTGGATTGAGCATCCTCCCATGGACCAAGAGATCACAGTTCAATTCCCAGCAGGGGAACATGCAGGAGGCAGCCAATCAGTGATTCTCATCATTGATGTTTCTATCTCTCTCTCTCCCTCTCCCTTCATCTCTGGAATCAGTGCTCTAAGCCAATGGTTTTCAATTCTGTCTGCACATTAAAGTCACCAGGGGAGCTTATAAGAAATACCAATACCTGAGCGCCACTCCCAAATTTTCCAATCCAACTAGTCTGGGAGTCCGGATTGCTTCTCATGTACTATCAGGGTTTGGGTACTATAAACATGATGATCAAGAGCAATACTCCATAAGCCATTCCTGAATAAGTCAGCCTTACTGAGAGTAGTTTATCCAAATATCAAGAGAAGTGAGCTTCTGCCCTGGCCGGTGTACATCATCCTGTGCACCAAAAGGCGGCAGGTCGCTTCCTGATCAGAGCACAGACCCAGGTTTCAGGTTTGATCCCAAGTTGGGGCACATTCGATGTTTCTCTTTTCTCTCTCTCTCTCGTCTCTCTCTCTCTCTCTCTCTCTCTCTCTCTCTCTCTCTCTCTTTCTCTCTCTC